TCCCTCAGTTATCTGTATTGGTCATTTCTGTGTGGAATCTAGCCTCTGAATGGGAACATTTGTCAATGTGTCTTTGCAATGCTGTTTCACAGTACCAAACGTTTCCCTGGGTATGACTCGGAAAGCAAAGAATTCAATGCAGAGGTTCACCGCAAGCATATCATGGGCCAGAATGTTGCAGATTATATGCGCTACCTGATGGAGGAGGATGAAGATGCTTACAAGAAACAGTTCTCCCAGTATATAAAGAACAACCTAACACCTGATGGGGTGAGATTTCTCTCTGGCTCGTGCATTAATAGAGGTGTTATTAAGTCTTGCATAGAGACTTCTCTAGTAATGCAGATAATATATAAAAAATGTGATTCATATTACATGTTATCTGTGCAAAGGAAGTATTTTTTCCTTCTTTAAGAGCTCTGCAGTATATTGTAGACCTTTTGAAAGCAAGATCTTTTTTCCTGCCATGAAGCTTAACGTTCTGCCTTTAAATCTAAGCTTACAGGACTGCATTCTAAACTGGACAGTCTTTGCAACCTTTTGGGGGGGGATTTTGTTTGATATAGAAGTTAACTTGAAATTTATATACATGCTGCCCACTCATTCCTCATTCCACACCACAGCCTGTAATTTCTGCAGCTGTGGGGATGTGCTCTGTGTCCAATCTGTTATAGCATTTTTGTGACCCTATAGGTAATTCTATGTCCCAGGTGAATATAGGCTAGCCTAAGCTACTTTGTTGTAGAAGCTGCAATCTTGTGAAATTAGAGAGACTGTAACACATCTTATTTCAGAATATTTTGCACAAAAGTAGAAAATGTGCAAGATTACCAAGGTATTTTCACTTCTTTCAAGTGTATAACTCCTTTCAGATAGCATGTCTTGCTGCCTGTAATATTCTTGCCTGGTTTCCCCAATTACTGGTCCTGAAGCTCCAAATATTCTCAAGTCATTTTTCAGACTGTGGAAAACTTAACTTTATTCTTTGTCCCTTTATTGCTATGTGGCTTGGAATGGTTTGTTGGTTGTTTGTTTGTTTTTTTTAACATAATTGCTGCTTTTTGTAACTTAATATTTGCTAAAAAATAAGTAAGGTTATATTGTGAATGCCAGCTTCATCTAGTTTACTAATCAAACAATATTTATAGCTTGTATTGCAAGTGAGTCCAGGACTTTTGGCAGTAGCTAGACACTTACTCTTTGTGCATCTTGAAGACTTCTCACAGCTGGGATCTGGTGATCTTAATTAACTACCAGCAAAGGTATTCTTAGAATTGGTGATGTTATGGAGCCATAGTTAATTTTGGGACACAGCAGCATTACTGCACCTTTGGGGAGAATGCAGGGACTGTCATAGTTCTTGCAAGACTTGCTACTCTGAAGCTGCTTTCACTGCTTCTGCTTCTTCCATCTTACTAAGCAGCTTTGTAACATGTGCTGCTGTAGGGTTTGAAAGGGTGGTAAGATGACATGTCTGACAGTTTGTGTGGAATAATTTTGGCATAGTAAGTAAACATGAAGTATTTTATTCTAAGTAGAATAACTTTCTAGATTGCCATTTCATTTTGGTGTGGGGAAGCTATGGCACTGAAAGCAGGCTTCGGAGGAAATAGTATTTCAACTGCAAGATAGTAGCCTGTATTTGAGAGACTTGTGAGTTGTCTGTAGTTACTTTATGGCAGGAGAAAATTACTTTTCTCTTTTGTGTCCCAAGTTGTGGGTTTGACTAGTGAAATTGTAGCCTAGTGATAGCAGGAATTTCAGTATGCTGCAGCAGTGTATGAAAAGTATTTTAAAGGCAACCATGCAAAACTTGTACATATTGTTATGTATTATGGAGCCCCTTTCTAGTGCATGCTTTGGTCAAGGTGTCTTGGTTTTCTTACATGATGGTACAACTGGACCACTATGGAGAACTGAACAATTTTTTTAAATATACTTTTTTTCAGATGGAAGAAATGTATAAAAAAGCCCATGCTGCTATACGGGATAATCCAGTCCATGACAAGAAACCCAAGAGAGAAGTCAAGACAAAGAGGTAAAGCTCTCATTCTGTTTAACATGAATGTGACTGTTAGAGACGCTTTTGGTTATGTTAAAACAAGTAATGAATTCTCATTGCAGTTATGTCAAAACAAGTAATGAATTCTCATTGCAGTTATGTCAAAACTTGCATGTTTTAGTTGAGATTAAGATACAAGCAGTTCTGTGTCACTTTATCTTGAGTTAACTTTAGACTTTAAGAGCTCTCAATTATATAAAAGTATTTCTCAAGTGGAGTATGCTTTTGGCCTGAATAGCTGGAACTCTTTAACTGTTTATCTTCAGCTGTTATATCTTTCCAGTGGGAAAGCTGCTTCTCTGACTGATCTGTTAGCACTAAACTATTTGGATTTTTGAGGGTTCTGGGAGAAAAGAAATCAAGGCCCAGCTGTTGCATTGGGCTCCACAGTGTCTGTATTCTAGTTGCAAGAGTACCGACTTAGCTTACCTTGCAAGGAGTTAAACTGCTGCAACCATGCAGCAACCATGTCCAACCCTGTTGTCTTGTGTATCCAAACTACAGCTTTAAATCATTATATAAGGAAATTGTGTGTTACAGAAGTGAGAATATGTTCTAGGACAGCATACTTGATAACAGTTCTGGTGCACTGCAGCTTGCTTGACCACCCTTTTGCTTATTTCTGCCTTGGCTATATCATATATTGTGCTTGCATTGCAGATGGAACTGTCCCAAGATGTCCCTCGCTCAGAAGAAGGACCGTGTTGCTCAGAAGAAGGCCAGCTTCCTCAGGGCTCAGGAGCGCGCAGCTGATAGTTAAGACAACTTCCACAGTTTGCTATGAAGCTTTGGAAAAAGTGGCAATAAATTTATTGAGTAAGCAGCTGTGCAAGACTGGCTTATTTATGCATCTTAGAAAGATGCAGAATAGTGATCCAGATATGCTGTAGCTTTAAATAGGTTTCTCTCCTGCCCCCTTATGAATTGAACTCCTTCACAGAGGAGAGGCGACAGACTTGTAACACCAAGGCTGCTGCATTAGAATCATTCCCATGAAGGGGAAATCAATGTTATTAATTTCTAGTGTGACTAGTACCAGACTGAGAAAAAGAAATAGCAGCTTCTAAAAAAAATACCATAAATTTTTTAAGAGTTTTTACATGTCCTTCACCATTTTTCTTTCAGCATACTTGATGTTATGAAGGAATCTGTATGGAGCTTAGGAAAAGAGCAGGAGTACTCGCAGCAGGTGCTAAAGCTTCTGCCCAAAGGCAGCTGTAGGCCTTCAGGAACACAAACAGCAACACTCTGCCTACTGTGACTGAATTAGCTGATAGAGGAGTAGATGTCTAATTGAAGTATTTAAGCTTCCTCAGGTAACTGAAGTAAGTACTTTGCACTCAGCTCTAAGCTCCGATTGCTACTGAAACAAGTACTGTCTTAAGCTGAATACTTCCCATGATGTAGTGTTTAGACAAGAGAATTCACTTTCAAGTTGCATATACATGCTTAGTTACAGAGGCTGACTGGCCCCTAATCCTTATTTTCTTCTATATCTTAATTTCATAGGCATTTAGTTATTTGTTTCCCATTAGACTCACTGAAGTTGTCTGTACAGTTAAAACATGAGATAAGTAGGCTACGTGGAGGAATGTTTTGCTTAAGATGCTGATAGATGGTAAGTACTGCTACTGAAAGAGAAAAGGAGGCCTGTGATATATTGTAAACAATGTATTTTTTCCAATGAAAGCTCCAACTTGAGGCAACAGCAATAAAAATGAAGGTTCTGTACAAGAAACCACTATTAAAACATGTTTTCCAGTTGTTTAAAATACCCAACAGTTCGGATTCAATAATCTCTGCCCAAAACCTAGTAATAATTATGTTTTTCCACCAAGAACATGGCCACTTTACACTTGAGTGCATTGCTGTCTACAAATGGTTTCTAGCTTGTGGAGGGACATCAAGTTAAAGAAAATAATCGGCAGAGTAATTCTTAAACTAAAAAGCTGATGTTTACAGACCAGTACACTCTCAACCCAAGCTGCATACTGTTACATACGGAATGGAGAAATGACTTTGTTGGTCCTGTATTTCAGTTTAACCACTCAAGGAATGCATTTAATAAAGGATACCTAAAAGCAATCACCAACCTTTCAAATACTTAAATAAAGCTTGTCCTGCTTACCTCTGAAAATGAATGAAGGGGCCAGCATTTAGAAGGATGTGGATGGCTGCCATTAAAATCATTAAGGATTGAACTACTTCATACCTAAAGCATTTATAAATGAAACATTAACAGGTGTTTTTGAGGACAGTATTAAGGTTGTTTTATAGATACCTATTCCTGCAAAATTGTGAACATAGATGTGGATCTGAGAAACAACAGATGCAGATTAAAGGTGGTACAATGATCATGCCATATGGAGTGCCAGGATCAGGTAGTGGTTATTTACTCATGACTTGAGACCTAACAGTGACTTGTAGATGCTGCTAGAAAAAAAAGAACAGTAATATACTAGAGCTTGGTAACAGCCAAGAATGAGGTGGAACATTTAAGCAGTATTTTGTGATCCTGAATAATCCTGCTTCTGTCCTACAGGTTAGCTCTATGCTCTGGCTTACATATTTCCCACAATAGCTCAAGAGGATCTAAGTACAAGTCTGTAGCTAAATTTGGAGGGACAGTGAAGAGTCAAGACTATCCACAGCTATTATTTGTTTCACATGTCATACAGCAGACTCCTACATTATGCAACCTTCCTATTTTCACTTTTAGGATTTTTTGCTGTCAATATTTTAAAAAAATTAGGTCTTCATATGATAGCTTATTCCACAAACTCCTTACTTTTCAGTATTTGCTACAGCTTAATTTGGGTCAAAGGTTTCAACTGAGGTACAAGGGGTTTTTTTTGAAACAGATGTTGATATTGCTGTTAGCCTACATACATGAATTTCAGAAATAACACGCTAAAATTCTTGGCTCCCAACATTCACTGTATAAGGGCTTAAGAAGTGTTAACTACTTAAACATTCAAGATTCAAGCATGAGGTAACAAGGTGTAAACAGAATCTGATTTAACTCTCATAACCTGTCAGTTCTTAGAAGAACACTCTTAATTTTCCACAGTTTAAAAATTATTAATGTGCAAATTCTGCCATGCCAAGGTATTAGTAAACTTCAATCTCACAGTTCAGTTTATCCACAACAGCAGCTTGGACTCAAGACACGTAATTTGCGGTAGTGGTGGTTCTTCATCAAACTACTTGGGATAATGATGTTTCTTTCGCGGGTATTTCACAAGCGAGCAATGGTTTTCACAGGATCCTAAGATGTTCCATCAGTTGATGTGGTGGCATAGAGAATACTTCCAGCCTGTTCAAGATCTGACAAAGTGCACAGAACAGTCAAGCATGCAGGGGTTTTGTTTCTGTAACACGGCACTAGAACACCAGATCATTCAGTGGCATGTTCCTTCTTTGAGAAGCCCTGTCACAAGGTACTGACTCAAGGGCAAGAGTTAGAATCTTTAATTAAATCTGAGTAAAGAACCATCTTTAAAAAATGCTGAGTTAGTTTTTACCAAACAGGGTGGGCCACTCTAGTGGCAGGCATCAATTGTCTTCTGCTGGTGGAGAAGCTAAGAATCATTTGTATGGGAAATTTTCTTCCACAGTAAAGTTTTCAAGTTATTGAGTATTAAGGAATGCTCCATCTCCATCTGATTTGCTGTGACTTTCAGGGCAATACACAAGTACAGTTGTTTTTCTAGTTCTTCATGGATATCAGAAGGAGCACCACGAAGCAGATAGTCTTTAAGTAGCTGACAGGCTTTTGCCAAGTTTGGCTGAATTACTTCTGTGGTACATCTCATTTTGCTTTGGTCGCATAGAGTTCTACAGTCTGTACCATAAATACAGTCCAAATCTGATTCACACTGGCGATCTTTAATTATTTCCTTCAGGTTCATTTCTGGCACAATTTTTCTCATGTCTATCATTTTCAAATCGTATTTATCATTATATCCCAAGTTTTTGGCACTTGTATCGCACATAAGAAAGTTTCCATAAGGTCCATGAAAAATATCTTCCACAAATTCTAAAAGCCCTATGGCTATTTTTGCTTTTCTTGGCCATGATGGAGTAAACCACTGGTCCATGCTTCTTCTGAAGCCAGAGGGAATGAAAAGTTCTATAATCCACGGAAGGCTGATTCCATAGAGAGAGGTATATTCAACTCTTTCGGTCACATAGAGATTCCCACAAAACCCCATCAACTTGGGAGTATGTTCTTTATCCTGCAAGATCACCATTAACAGAAACTCATCTAGCTGGAGCAGTGCCCATGCAGATTTTGCCTCGGGCAAAGAAACTCTACCATCCTTGTTTCCATCAGCAAAAGAGAGGATGAGATTAACCAGTTCTGAAAGATTTCCTTGTTCACCTAATTTGGCCTGAAAGCAACAAATGAAAAAGATTAAATATTGTTTTATTAACTATCACAAATCCACTTGTCATTTTACCTCCTGTCTTTCTACTCCTATGGATAGTATGGTAAGGGTACATTATGTTCTAGTTTCCACTGGTTATAGATGTTACAGGACTTGCTATGACATCCCTGAAGAGCATCCTTTTTGTTCTGTTTTCAAAGGCATCAAGTATATGATCTTAAAGTGCTAGTGTTCTGTGCATTTCAAAATGCAAACATCAGAATTCAAACACTGTTCTTGGTCAGGGCAGTCTTTAGAAAAACTGTATCAAGTAGCTTGTTAAATATTCTCTTAGAAAAAGAATGTAGAATTCCAATCTTTAGATCAAGTTTAGTTGTCAGCTGATAATGGCCAACTATAAAATACTAGGACACACTGGGTACAAATCCCATAGGATAAGTGTACCAAAACCTTTCATTTCATTACTTGATATAACCACCTCCATTGTATCAATACAGAGAAAGAAGCCATTGCTGGTACCAAAACTGTTGCATTTTCAACTACCACCAATGCACACAGAAAGGCAAGATAAACATTTCCCAAATTCTCAAAAACTACTCTAAAACACCTGCTGTTCACCCATCCTTAAGAGACAAAGCTACTGTAATGCGTGGTAACTGTCATCAGCTTTACAGAGTGTTACATGCGTGTGCATGTGTACACGTGATACCTGTGTATTTCAGCTAGAACAGCATTATTTCCATCACCAGAGATACCAAAGCATCAAAAGTGCCGAGTTACAAAAATTCTGGGGTTGCACTAAGGCACTGGAAATATGTTTCACATTAATATAACACAGAAAGAACTGGGAGAAGTACGGCTGGTCGTTCTGGTTAGAGAGATTCCTGCTGCTCTGTTAACATACTCACTCTTCCCAAGCACAAACAGTTTTCAAACTGTGCTTTAGTCTTTGTACTTGGTTACAATAACCCCAAAAGCGGCAAAAAAAAAAAAAACAACACATTTTTACCACACTTGTATTTCTATACAAGTGAAATCTGTAGACATGAAAGATGTAAGCCAGGTTCCATCTGTTAAGAAATAAGGAAAAAACCTGATAATTACTTACTTCAAACTTCGAGATGAACACCTCTGGGAAAAAAATATTTTTGTGCTGATTATCTTTCTAATATGTACTTGAACAAGGCTCATATTATCGCGTATTCTCTCCAGCTGCAGGAAAATAAGCCTTTCTGTCAAAGCAGTATAAACAAACATGTACTTACCTTAAAAAGACTATATACCATTTCTTTGAATTTCTCAACAGTGGTTCCTCTTGTTGGTTTATCAAATAGGACTATTTCCTTCCTTGGTTCTGGGTCAGTACCAAGATCAAGCTGAGCTGCTTCTTCCATCTGGCATTTTATAACACCTTGCAGACTTCCCCAGATTCCTAAATACATCTACACAGGAAAAGAGGGGAAAAGGTAAAAAAAATCTGTAGAAGTCCATCATCTGAAGGCCACTTGTACTCCAACCACTGTTTCAGGAGTCAAGTCGCAACACAGAAAACCGAGGCCTGTCTACAGACAATGCCCAGAACACATTCAAATGGCAATTCCAGTACACTACTGAAGGTATGTAAGAGACACTACACTGATAAATACAAAGACAGCTTGATAAACAGTTTCTTGGCATTACTACCATAGTAGTAACATGCAAAGATTGTTAAGAGGCTGCTGCTTCTATTTGGGAAGCAGGATAGCAGAGTAGTAGTATGCTGTACAAAAGTATAGTTATTCTGTCAGAAAGTGTATTTTTTATATATGTGTTTCTAAAATATATGTATGTGTAGTATAAAATTATACCCATCTACTTATCAGAACAATATATTATATACAGGTACATTATATATATGTGCATATTATATATACTGTGTTATTAATAACATTATACCTATATATTCTACATGTAGGTATATACACACATATATATATATTAAAAAACATTCTTGCATGTCACAGCAAATACAGCTTAAAATAATCTGTATTAAACAGATACAGCTTGCTGACACAAAGGTCTACTTGATGTTCCACACTATGATATTTCGGTGGGAAATGATAAAACCAGGTTGGATGAGTAAAGCCTTACCTGGTTATTGGGCTTTGTTGACAAACATTTTCCAAAATACAGTGTTTCTTTAGCACAAAGACTACTACATGCTGACCCATCAATAACTCCAGTCTTGTATTTATCACACTGAAACAAACAGGGAGAAAAGTATTTAACAAATTGCTCAGGAAAGGAAGCAACAACTGCATCTCTCTCAACACCCAACTCTTCAAAGAAAAACCTCAGAAAACAACTTTACTATCCCCACACGAAAACAAGGTTAAGAAACATAACTGGTTTTATCTGTCACTGAAGATATAATCTTCAACATGCTGGAATATCAGATTTTGGTTAATTTACATATTGCACTGACTGAATTGACTGTGGAATTACCCAGGACAAACACTTAAGAAAGCTATGCTAAATATACTTACTATTATTTTCCTACAGTCATGTCCTCTGCATAGTTCTGTGTAGGTGGAGTACTGAACATATGTAACCCAGCTGCCAACAAATACTACTAACCAAGAGATAAAGAGATACTTCATCCGCATATATGAGAGACGTACCTAGAGGATACAAAAGAGAAAATATTCTCTGTAATTCATTCAGCAGCAGTCAGCATGATAAGAACAAACATGATTTACTATTTCACCTTTAAGAATCTGACTTTCACAGTGATAAAATAAGCAGACTGCATTACATGGAACATTTGCTTCCTTCAGTGAGCAGAACTGGCAAGAGAGGTCAGTTTGACTTATGTAAGTAGAATAAAAATCAAGATATAAATAGATAGAAGAAAAGGTGATAGATCCTCATTTTGATCAAAATCAACCTTCCTTGAAAGGATACCATTTAATTATGCAAGTAAAATTCCTCTAGACTAGCCTTGTCTTCAGTGGTCTTCCCCATAACTGTATGCAAGACTTTCCTGCTACTTCTGTGGCCTAGCATTTAATTTCTTCACTAGGGACAGAGGAAAAAAAAGTATTTATAAATGAAGGATTCAGGGACAGCTAAGTGCCTTGTAAGGGAGGAGGCACATTTTGATATATTTTTTCCCTCCTCGTCTGGTGGGCTAACAATTTGGTTTTCATAGATCAGGATTAGAAAAGAATTAGAAATTAATGATTAGCTTTAGCAACAGGATACAAGTTCGTAGGTTAGTATGAGATGAATTTCTGTTAGTATCCTGATGTTCAGCAATAGCTACAAATAGATCCCATCAAAGAGTGAGAATATACAATATATATCCCAAATGTGCTCCCTTCTTCCTCCAGAAGAACTTGCTTTGATTTAAAAAAAAAAAAAAAATCCCATCAAGGAATTACCAGTGCCAAATAAATACTGCAACTCAAGCTGTTGATTCAGATCACATTTTCTTCACAATAAAAAGCTTTCTTAGCCACTGGTAACTGAAAGCTCATCATAGGCATCGCTATGTTACTGCTAGAAGTCTCTGACATAAGTCAGGGGTTTTTAACTAGAGAGACTACAATAATTTATGAATACTTATAAAAACATGACAGACAACCAGCACGCATTACACCCTTTTCTCTTGGAAGAAATAATCCAAGAAAGGTCAGTTCCAAAACACTCAAAAGATGATTCCAATCCATGCAGCTGTGGTCCTGCTGTGTGCCTCAGCTGTGCATCCCTATTCCTTCCCTCCTTCAAGCAAACTCACTTGACTTATCTTAAAACTACCTAGTCAAAGAAAGAGATAGATACAACTGACTACTTATATTCTGGTGATAAGATCTTGAACGAGATAGTTACTTCAACCAGTTCCTCTTTGATGGTATTACGTTGAGAATGTTATAAGACAGGAGTAATTTCTGCTATTTTCCTCAGAGCCACAAAGACCTTAGTTAGAGTAACATGTAATTTCCTCTAAAGCTCAGTATTCACAATATGGATACAAACTGGATGGAGTACAAAAAGGAAACCAACAGTAATGGCTGTGTGGTTTACAGCACATCTAGAAACAGCTTAGAAAATGTATAAGGAAGCTGGGGGTAGGGTGGATGGAACAGCCAAGAAACAAAACTGATAGCAAGGGGCTGGGTAGCATCAAAAAAAAAAGAGAAATCCCATGAAAGAGAAATGCCTTTGCCATTTAAAGAACACTACTGGAATGACAGACTTGCAGGACTTAGTGCAATTTCCTAGCTTAAAAAAAAGGTGAACCACCATACCTACATGGTTACAGCATACAGCATCACAAACTTTCCTGCAAACCACACTACTTGAACTGATGAAAACAGGAAGTCATCCTACATAGAATCATAGAATCATAGAATAGTTAGGGTTGGAAAGGACCTGAAGATCATCTAGTTCCAGCCCCCCTGCCACGGGCAGAGACACCTCACACTAAACCATATCACCCAAGGCCTCGTCCAACCTGGTCTTGAACACTGCCAGGGATGGAGCATTCACAACCTCCCTGGGCAACCTATTCCAGTGCCTCACCACATGTGACCTAGCAGTAAGTGAGAACCAGTATTTTATCAATGAGTTCACAAGCACTCCCCAGTCACACAACCCACACCATCCCCTGTACAAAAGAACTGAAATCTTAGTTCAAGCTCATGTGGATTCACCCTCATCTATTCTTTCTTCCAGACCATTTTCTGTATTTAGTAATTACAATCCTCAGTAGTTTTTTTCTTCCCCATACCCACCACAAACTGTTCCCTCAGCCAGTCTGAACATCCTCCTCTTGAAACACACATCTGCTAATCTTTTTCTTCCAGTTATTTCCAGTCTATTCCCACCTGATTCTGCAACACCTACCATCTTCCTCCACTGCCTGTCTTCCATTCTCAAGTAAGTTTCCAGCACTACTCAGTGCCTGATCCACTTCAGTTCTCCAGCACAACTCTCCTACTTCAGAATCCTTGTCCTGAGCTACTGCTCGTGTACAAAATGCACTTATCATCCACGGGCATCCTTTTTTCACAACTCTGGGAAGCCAGCATAGGCAGCATGGCAAAGCACTAGGGGGAGAGCGTCTCTCTCCCTGTTCCCACTTCCAGAACTAAAGGAAAGCTGTAAGCAGGGCAGACGGATTCTTTGCATAGGTTAGTTCTTACACCCGCACTACACAAACCAAACCAAAACCAGAGACATCTATTATTCCTCAGCAGATCCACCCCAGCAAGACTACGTTACCAGCTCTGAGTCAGCCCTCCAGCAGAGGTCTCTTGAAACACAGTTTTGAACTGGAATGTGAACCAAACCAGTAGATCAAAAACATTTAAAGTACAGGATTAAGAGATTGACTGATCTGGATCAGTTGTGAGCATACAGACTTTTTTTTCCCTCATCTAGAGGAGACAGCATATTTTTTCCTTGCTTCCTTCATACTTTCTGTTGAAGGACAGAGCATACATAATAGTTTTAGTACTTAAAAATAAGAACTACTATATTATAGTTATGCAGGTTCAATGACTTCTGTAATAACTTCTTTTTATTTGTTCTTATACCACCTAAAACCTCATGGTTTCATAACCTAGTCTGTACTTTTTTGCTGTTTTCAACATAGTAATAACACTAGTGTGTGCTCTGTAGTACAGTTCCTGAAATTATCAAACAACTTGAGTCAATCATGTCTTTTAACTTTGGCCTAATGTTTCTGCAACAAAGAGTTGATATAGCATCAAACTGAAAGAATGACCTTCTTTGCCTCTGCAAGCACAACAAGATACAGCAGCATCTGAATGTACAAAAGCTGTTTGTAATTAAAGCATGGTATTTTGATATAATCAGATCAGACTCAATTATTGATAACTATGCAACAAAGGCATGTTCATTAGGGTTTTTTATTCATCTTTTTGTCAGGATTGACTTCTAGTCAAATGAGCAAAGTGCTGCCCGTTATTCCCACTTCCACACACTTGCCCAAATCATCTATTGAAGGTTACCACCACATAGCAGAAGTCTGTAGAAGCAAACACAGACAGGTCTCATACTCTGAGAATCATCTTCTTCATGAAACAAGATTTTCACTGGAAGTTCCCAGTAGCCAAACAAATAGTGAGCTGCAACAGCTAAGGTATGGGAGCATGCTCACTCTAAAACTTATGCTGTATGTATAGTAAACTAACGGAATATGGGGTCAGAGAAGCATCTTGGACTATCCCAGCAAATGTATTTAAGGATTCAGTAGCAAACCTGGGTGCTTTCTCTGTCATCTCATGTACTTCAATCTTCAAGTGTCTTTCATTTACGAAGTTTAACTGCATTTCCTCAAAGTAACTTTTACTGAAACCTACCAGAAGTTACCTTGTATCTTGACATACCCCTGCACATTCTTGAAGGAAACACTTTCTCTGTGGGTCCCGTTCTTCACATAAGTCTAGGAGCTATTTCCTTCAGAAAGTTAAAAATAAGCTTAAAAAAGTTTCCAACGTAAGCAGCATTAATTCTTTAAAAACATTTAAGTTTCTCCTTCTAGCCACAAAAGGGCAGGCTGCAACACAAAGGCAGGATAGACTATGCAAATCTTGGGGTGGGGATCAAGTTAACTCAAAGTGTATTCAATTCATTTCCTACTTTTTTCCTTGTCAAGACTGCTATCTATAAACAAACCACATCCAGAGCATTTATTCTTAGAGTATAAAAGAACTTAACTTGCGTCTCAACAATGCTAAGATCCTGTGCCAAAGAAATGCATGCATAAACATCAATATTTACAATCATGGGGCTGGCTATAGGGGACCTATTCATATGGTCCAAAGTCCCATTTAACCCCATGTTGCATTCTACATTGCATTCCAAATATTTCCTTCCAAGTTCTGTTATCCAAGTTAGGAAACAAGGAGCATAAGGGGAAATTTTGCTGTTGTTATTATAAAATGGGTACTGCCTCAAACGAAAGTAATCAAATCAAGGCTGAAGCTATAGCAAGTCACCTCCTTTCTTCTGATAAGCACCAAGCCTTCTGGCAACTTTAAGTGCTATGTCTTAAATGCAGTTTATAGTTTTATTTCTCCAAAGAGAAGTATGATTTGCCAGAAACTATCCCAAATCTGAAATACATTCCACATCTGGATACCCAACACCACACATAAAAACTATCCACATCAAAAACTGCATCAGTACAGAGTTCCTGGTTATGTTTACTTCAACATACCAGCACATTGTCCAGGGCTTTCTAGCTTACAGAAGCCAAATCTGGATCTCTAACTCCATCACATACATTTTCAGAGATTCAAAGTAACACGAGAACTTCTTTTATCACGTGAAATTCTACCCAAGAATAGCAAAGGATACCAAATATAACGACAGGCAGGTCTCAGTGATTTGAGCAACATCTGTCTGAGACAAGTCATAAAACTTCAAAAAAACCCCCCATGGGTTGCAGATTATTATAAACAAGCAACCACAAGAAGAACACAAATGTCACTTACAGATACTAAATGCAAATATATTAAGGATTATTGTTCCACAGCTGCAGTCAGTCTGGAAAGTAAGTCTGGGGAGAACAGGATGCTTGGGTCAGTTTGAACAGCGAAGACCGAATAAAGCAGTTGCTTTCTTTCAATTTTACTTTTGTTTTTAGAAGTGAACTTTTCATAACTATTTAATTACCCAGGGCCTCACAAAATACCTCAGAACACCTACAGGGAGAACTAAAAATGATGTTATCACATCCTCATTTCTACAGACAATTCTGGCAATGGTCTTCCTAAAGCCTATCACAAGATGCTTCTCTACAAAATGTCTGCTCTTAAAATAGGATCACTGAAACTTCTAATAAATCAACTTTCTTCTGTATTTCCCCACACATAGATAAAAGGAAGCTCCTATGAATCAGGAATTATAGCAAGTAAGTGCTAATGATTATCTTTCATCTATTTGAAAAATAAGATACAATGATTTCCTTTAGGGACAAGTTTATGTTGTTTGGGGTTTTTTAACTATTTTTAATAACCCTAATATTGTAGAATACAAATAATATAGTGCATACAACTCCTGGTAAAATCTGAGAACGAGAATAGAAATAAATGTGACAGTTTAAGGCAAAGCTGTTTCATCCATAAAAACTGCTTGGGAACCAAAGCTTCTGGGACAACAACCCTCTTCATTCCTCAAAGTTTCTTGCTGACTCCTTCCATGAACCTTTATAATCATAGAATCATAGAATAATTACAATACTAAACTTTAAACCAAAGTGCTATTTAATGCTATTTTTTTATTAAATACATACCATTTAACATGATCTCAGAGATCACCAGAGGTCTGCAGGCCTCAAGACCACTGCAGAGTATTGACCATACTCACAGTACAGGACAGAATACTGTATACATGCATTTATTCAAATTCACCCTTCTCCTCAGCAAAAAGAGAATGTGTTTGGGACAGAAAATCCTCCCCAGATGCCATCTGACTACATCATATACTTGGCAGGAGGTTCCAGAGAAGTTAAGATTTATTTTGGGCTCAGCATGATGCCAGTGCAGTCACATAGCTTTTGACTTGCAGAAGACTGACAACCTGCCAGTTCAGAGCATGGACAAGAGCATGCGTCCGCTTACAGAAGACCACAAGTTCCACTCTCTTTGAATCAAAGGCAATTACTTTTCTAATAAGGACTACCTTATTACATGCCACAAAAGGCCAGATCATTATTTGATTTCTTCTCATCCGTTCTCCCTATCAAGCTTCCATTCCCAGAACTGATCTGTGAGTGCAGACACACTTACTCCACTTCATCTAGGAAGCATCAGAACTGACGTGCACATGCTGTACTAATGCAGCCGGGGCACAGGTTTACTGAGCCTGGTTAGGTCACACATGCCGTCATGCACCCTGAATACAGCAGATCTACTGCACATACGCTCTGCAGATCATTTGAACACTTCTCTGAGCAAAAAGTCACAGACAGAGATTAGGAAACAGTATGTACAGATAGACTTGATTTGGAATTGTGACAAACTACTAGGAAGCTTATAATAACAGCATATTCGGGGCAACAGAAGGACTGAGAGTTCCGAAATAATTTCAAATGGAAGAAAGTGTTCAAAACCAGGAAACAGGATTACTCTTTTCTGCTCCACTCTTCCACCAAGACTTTTAAATATGAACCAGAGAACACAGGGATGAGGGAAAGCACTTGTAATGCTTGAAAGGATACTACAGAGTCAACTTCTTCTATCACTTGGATATTCTACTAAGTCACATGCATTGAATAATAAGTAGGCATTCATTCCCTGAAACAGAACTGGAAAACCACTTCTGGCAAAGCTCAAGCTTGGATGCACTCCAAAGCATATGGAGAGAAGCAGATCAAAATGCAACATAACTTGCCAGGTTTTGGTAAGTGTACTTTTTTTTATTCAAAATGTTTTTATGGTTAAAGAGTATGAAAGTGTTTCTTTGTTGAATAGCACAGAGAGCTTAATCCTGCAAAGTATTCCACATAACCATACTGCACTAATCCTCTCCAAATGAGAGTTGATCTCTCCATGTTTTACATAAGAGCAATGGGAAAGAGCAAACAAACAAAAATTGTAGGCTGATCCCATGTAGGGAATCCTGCTTTGTTCTCTGTTCAGGTTGGTTCACGGATCATAAGACGCATTTCAGGTAGGCTGACATGATGTCTGAGATCATTAGCCCATGCTGCCGTGGATGCCAGGTACTGGATACATTCACACCTTTAAGAGCGGACAGTGCATGCTTAGATTATGCATGCACTTTATTTGTATCCTGAGTAACTAAACACAGTAAACAGAGTTGGAAATCTCTTTTGAAATAAAATAATGGCCAAGATGGAAAACAGAACGTTTCTCCTTAAAAAGTTAAACAGCACCACCACCAAATATCAGAATCTTACAGGAAAGAGATTATATAGAAAAATTCTGTTATATAGGGCTTTAAAACTTGTTGATTCTTTAGATCACCAAAGATAGTCTCTTGTTCAATATTGAAGTCCATGGGACATGTCTAAAGAGTCTGTAAACTTGGTCCAGAATCTCTAGAGGCCAGAAACCTTTCAGGCACATGAATGTTCTTTACACAGTTATTGTAATGCACAATCCCGCCGGCTTACCCTCAGCCTCGTGATGCAATTGCTAACTAATCAGAAGGAACTTCAGGACAATGTCTCCCGAATCTGGGACACTAACCTCTCCTGGTAAAATGTAAAATGTGAACAGTGTTAACCACCCAACTGTAAGATCCTAATAAAAACAAAAATCTAATAATACTTTGGTGGTATTTAGTAGTGTTTAAATTTGTCAGGCTTGACTTCTTTGTTTTGTTTTCTTTTCTATTATTACATATCTGCAGCCTAAGCAATGGGAAAACTTTGCATCTCAGAATTACTATTTTGCGGTGAAACATGGTCTGTGTGGGTCCCTAACCACTAGGTTTTGGATTTAAGTGATATATCCAAGAGTTCACCCTGCTCCTTTTGCATGAGCTGACACTTGACAGCACATCCTTCTGGCTATGAACATGTAAATTAAAATCAATAATAATAAAATACATTTGCCACAGAGTATCAGTTGCAAACCACCTCATAGCATCCTGTTCCTCTTACACAAGAAAGGTAGGCCAGGTATTAAGCTCTGTCTTGCAGAATCTGATGTTCTATCAGCTCACTTCACACCATTTTCAAACCGTATGGAACACCAGCCAACAACATCTGGAAGTCACTCAGCAATACCTTCCATGTACAACCATCTTCCCTAGTGTGCTACTTGAAATAGTGCATAGCAATGCTACACGTATCTTTATCTTGCTTGTAGCTACATCTAAGTGAGTTAACATCTAGCATTTACTTAGAGAACATCGGCTTCTTTGGAGACAAATCTCAATAAAGCCCTCAACAATTAGTATTGCTAAACCATGGCTACATTTGTCATGTACCAGTAACACACAGTGACAAGGAAAAGTCAATGTATTGATAGCTTGCTGCCATTCTATGGACGTATCAAATATCAACATACATTCACTGTCTTAACACAGGCAAATGTGTTGATGCTGACAAAGCCACTATTAGCTTTCCTACACCAAACCTGTATAATATTTACATGGAGCTATAAAAAAAGTACAGAAAAGCACAGTCAGAAATATTTTTTCAGTCTGCAGTAGAAGCAAGTATCTTACCACTCAGGCTTTTGTAATAAATGATTTTGATGTTTTCCTGTTTCTCAGCAGATTTTGAAATAGCGTTTTGCATGAAAGGCCTTAAAATGAATGTTGACAAGAAGAACGGAGAAGAATGTTATCAGATATCACCATATAATGATCAGTGACTTAGCAGGGCAAAAACATTCTGGAGAACCCTGATTTGAAAGGTGGCATGTAGATTATCAATTACCTTCATTTGTATCAGAGGCTCTCTCCTATGGCAATCCAAATGCTGTACAAGTGTCTACCTCGGTAAGAGATGCAGAGGAATATTTTCCAGTCTATCAATTAAAGTGGTACTGACCCAGATACATATTATAAAACTAATACTAAAGAGGGTAACATTATACCCATATCTGTACACTTCTTAAATGTTATATCCTATTTCAGGAACTTCCAAACAGATAACAAGATCATAAAAGCTCCCTATGAGGAGGTATTAAAACATTCAAGACTTTAATATGCATCAGGATAAAGTTCACATCTTTTAATCTAGTGATCAGAAAGCAGTCCATAAAATATCAACAGATGACAAACACATAAGCAGTACGTATAAGTAAGCATTTTATTTATCCTCTCCAACTCAACAAATGTTCGTTTTAGTTAATATAATGCAACAGATGAAAAGGAATCCCAAAGAATAACCCTCTAATGTACCACAACGTCGTAACTCACATTTCACCATAGAGCTTCCTTCTACATAGCAGCCACAGTGCTTTCAACCGAAGCAGCCTTACTAAGGCAACTTCAGTAGTTCAAACATGTACCGGTGTATGTAAACATAAAAGTGTGTCTATGAACGCATGCACAAATGCATGAAGCAAATAACTACTCGACAGCAAAAGGAAAGTGCTGGACATCGATTCTTTCGGGACACGTGAAATAAATGCGCCTGTTCATGCAAACTCTAGTCCACCCCCGGATGGGATGAATGTCCACAGCACCAGCCGCAGGTGTAAGGGAGGGACACGTGGAGAGAAGCACCAGAGCTCCTCCGGGCCCTGGCAACGTGTAACTGCTCAACTGAAAACCCCGAGGGGGCCGAGGAGCCGGCGGCCGCGTAACAGGTCCAGCAGCGCGGGCCGGAGACGGAAAGCGAGGCCCGATCCGACCAGCGGCAACAGGCGCCGAGGCCGCCCGCCACCTGTTCCCGCGCCCCGAGACCCGCCGCCGAGGGGCCCGCCAGCCGCGGCTTGCGTCTCAGCCCCGCTGCCGCGCTGCGCAGCCGAGCGAACGCCGGCCGCACCCGCGGCGGGCCGGGGAAAGCGGCGAGCCCTGCGGGGGGCGCCCGTTCCTGAGGTAACTTCGCAGGGGGCTACGAGCGGGGAGGGAAGGGTGCTGCCACGGCCCGCCGCCGGCCTACCTGCGCGTAGTGGGGTTTCCTGAGCCAGGCCCCCGGGAAGAGCCGCCTCGCCATGGCAATCACACATCCCCGCAGCGGGCGGCGATCGGAGGCGGAGCGGTGAGGAGCGCTTCCCCGCCTGCCGCCGCAGCCGCCGGCTCGGCTAGGCACGGCACACGCGCGGCAGCGGCGAGGGAAGAAGGGGAGAGTACGGCGGCCCTCGGGCACGGGCGCCCGCGCTCTCTCCAGTATCGGCGGGCGCCGAACGACAGCAGCTGTCAGCGGGCAAAAAGGGCGGGCAGCGGCCGCCCCAGCTAGGGGAAAGCCTGCCCGCGCCCCCAGCCGCGGCTCCACGGGAGGGCTGCAGCCGTGAGGGCCTGAAGCGGGATGAGGGGAGACTCCGCCTTCTCCCCTCAGCCGCGTCGAGGCAGTGGGGCTGTTCCCTCGCCTTTCCCGCTCCCGGGCCATGAGGAGTAGGAGTGGGGCTTGTCGAACTGAGAGCCACCCTCGAGGTGCCTCGGCGCTCAGGTCTGCCCGAAAGTGGTCGGGCCCAGTCTGGGGACAATTATGAAGAAGTCAGTTAATAAATAACGTGTCTCATTGATTGGGAACAGGCTCCCGTCATTTACTGGACAGGGTATTAAAACCAGCTGTGGGCCTGTACAGTCTAAAGCCCCTTATTTCCTCCAAAATAAGGAGGGAGTTTGTTTGGGCCTATGTTAACAGAGATGAGGGATGTAAGGCTCGTAAAGTAGTGAAAAAATTACCAATTGCTCCTTCAGCAGTGGGTATCTCAACACTTCAAACGGTGTGAGAAGTGCCAGACCAACTGAAGTTAGTGGGAACACTGCTAACGTAAGTTTGGTTTTTGTTGTGCCTTCTTGTGATTACGACTTGATGGTGACTTCTTCTAATGCAGTGTTAGCAGAGTCAAAGTCAGAGCTGGGAGTCTGCTGTTCAGATGCTTTTTGGCTGCAAGGCTTTGGGCCAAAAGATTATGCCACGGTGTAGGGTTAAAAGTAATGAGGAGATTAATGTAGCATGTTACAGCTTTTGTGTTCCATATGCTTACCAAAGAAGGCTGCTTTGATGAAAAGACAGGTCACAAAAATATTACTGTAAGGGTAAGTTACTTGGTTTTGGCAGGGTTTACGCTAAAGGAAAGATTTGTATCTGGAAACCAAATGTGAGGAGTTCACAAAGTATTAACAGCTCTAGCTCTGCAGAATGCAAAGAGACTTGTGTTTTAAGATTCAAGAACAGTCTGCGGCTGCTTTTTGAATAATATAATTGCCGCCAGAGTCACTCTGAAGCATAAATCTGAAAAATAATTAGTAAGATTTGGCACTCCTGTAAAAGCAATGCTGGTTTTAATAACAGCCAGCAACTCCTGCAGTAAGGGTGTTCTGTTCCTATTCAGGCAGGCCCAGATGGCCATGCTTTCTGCATCACCTCCCTCTACAGCTGAGTGGTTTGTACAAGTTCAGCTAGATTACAGGCTTGCAACAGAACGGCAACACAGAGGACACCATAAAGCAGACATTAAAACATTTTGCTGAATAATCTCAAGCCATTACTTCATCCAGTGCTCTATGCCAACCCTTGGAATGACAGGCTGGCAGTAAGTGGGAAATGCAGGTCTCCCATATGGCTGGCAAGGATCTAAATGTTTCATTCCTGTTATGTCTGGATCTGAACAGTTCTTGGCATATGTTCATTAGGGGATGTATTTTTCACTTAGTACATGACATCTTCATCATATGTGAGAGCAGGTGCTTTATTCCAGCTCTGAAGTGTTCTTCAAGTACTCCTTGTGCCCAGGCTTTGCTAAATGCTAAAAAGTAAGGGATTTCAGCTGCTTTCAGCTACCTGTTAAAGACAGAATTCCCAGTTAAGTCCCAGTAGAGGTAGCTCCCAGGAAAAGCTAGGCCATGTAAGCCAGAACAGAAACAGAAAAGATGTAACATCCACTGACTTTGCATTCAGTGGGTGTGCAAAACCAAAGTAATATTCTAAAGACCAGGGGGAAGATGTATAAAAGCAGCAGAGATAGAATGTAAATCATATTGATGTGTTATTTACTGTATAGCCTTTCCATTCTGCAGTTCACACATGATCCATTTTTTTGTGCCAGTGTCAAACTTTGGTATATCTCAATGTCCAAGCAGTAAAAGTTAAGCTGATTTATTGCTACATGTTAATATTCAGGTTTCCTACCCAGCTATATCAACATTGAGTGTTGTTATTCTAGTGATACAGGGTTTGTGTAGAAGATAAAAATCAGCTCCTGATTATACAAGTGTAGTGTTTGTCACTCAAAGTGTCAGAAGATTAATGTGGTTTTATAATACCTTCTTACCTTCCCGTTCAGTTCTATGGCAACTTGGAAGAGTGGTTACATGTGTTAAAGCATCCAGAAATACTAGACATACAGTGAATGAAAATATGAGACTAAGGAGGAGAAAGGAAAACTACACAGCATAATCTGAATTATTGAAGATAATATGCACCTTTGAAAAGAAATAATTTTATCCAATTTGTTTTGCAGGGAAGTCTGTGTTACTTGAGCAAGTAATACAGGTTTTAACATTAAACGAGCTAAACATTAACTTACTGCAATGGTGCTAGACTTGCTTCTGACATGGTTATTTGAAGCAGCTGCACCCACATACTGATTTAACTAGAATACAATCATAAAAGACTCCATGGGAATTCCTCAGTGTTCACACACTCCCCACCATTGTATTCTATCCAAGGATCATCTGACTAATGTTAAGAATCACAGAACTTCTGTGATTCTTAATCACAAGAATCACAAGTCTTCTCTTTCTCACAACAGCTTTACTAACTTCCAGTCTGCCTAGCATGGCTTCTTGGATTAGTGCTCGTATACTATGAATATGCCAAAGAAATAATCTTTGATCATGGGCAGTACCAGTAGGAATGGAATGCCTTAGTATTTGCCAGTTGCCTGGGGTTTTATTTACTTTTAATACATGTGTTTACACAATATACAACATGAAAATGGTTTACAATGAAACCACCTGCATTTCCTAAAATAAAGGCTACAAAAATTTAAAGGTTCGTATTAGTCAGCTATCAAGGTACTTGCTCAGAGATCTGTCTGGGAGTCTGTTTTTATACAGACCGTATTTCCCAAGTCCTTTCTACAGGCCTAAGCATGTCTTTGTGGAAGAGAATGAAGATCTGGGGACACATCCAGCCTTTACAGACCTGAACTTTCCCTCATATTGCCTTCAGAGTAAGATTCCATTGCCTTCCTCCCCTGCTAATTTCTGTGAACTCTGATTTAATCACTGTGTTAACTTTAATTTTATCCTAATCAATTATTTCCTATCACATTCAAATCCTTATAAATGCTAATGCTTCTAGGGCATGGATGGTTGGAACCATCTCTTACCCAGAAAGCAGACAAAGCCTGTTAAGGACTCCCTTGTGGCTTAACTTGTTGTAAACAAATCATTAATCTATTTGAAGAAACAGACTCTTCCAGCCAGCAGGTTTCATTTTTAAGGCTGTGTTTACAGGGTCACTTCAATCTTGCATGAATCCACCCTGCTGCAGAAGCAGATGGTGTTACCTTTTCTTGCTATTGGTGCCTACCTTCTCTTTTGGGTTGGCACGACTGTTTCTGTTGTTGTATAAAGAGCTAGATCAATGTTCTGACCTAAAAAATAATCTTTATTCTTTTTTACTCTGAGTTCAGTTAGAGGCAATCCAATTCCCTTCATCAGGGGCTTGGATTTATGCCAGAATAAAGTGTCTGTCTGTAACCACTTAAACTTTTATTTAAACATATCTATATCAAAAATCATGTTTTAATACAGTCAGATGAACGACTCAAATGTATGTGACTCATTTATAGCTCTTCACTGAGATTAGATCCAAATTAATCAGCTCTCAATGTTTAATAACAGTTGGGACTACAAGTCTTTGATTTGTGAGACATTGTGTCTCTCAAAGCAGACAATGTCTACTGTTTTTTCTGGTATATTGTTTAAAATTCAAAATGTACAAGAAAACATTACAGTTAACAGCTCTTAGTAAATAGGTTTTCATACATTTGTGATAGAAAGCTTTATATATATATAAAAGTCCTTTTTATATTAGAGGACTGGGGAAACTCCAGAAATACTCTACTCAGAAGAAGAGCTTTGAAGGTCATTACCTCATTAATGATCAGTTGTAAGCGGATGCTAAAACAACAGTCTGCATTTGTATTCTCATTGTTTCAAAGTCTACAAAGACAACACAGTTCAGATTCAATCCACTGATAAAATTACGTTTCCTTTGTATGTATTTGTCCTTTCAAGTCTAATTCCTGTATTAATTGCTGGAGATGGGAGGTTCAATTACCCAAGGATTAATTGAGGTTATATGTTAAAGTGCATGGTCAAACTACCATTGCTATCATTAATCTATTTCTCATTTGACAATAATTTTATCATTTTCAGACTACTTACTGTTGCCTAATGATACTTAAAATGTACCCAGGTTTCAACATGGTTATTTTGCTTAATTATCCATGCTGTTTCCTTCTTTGAATAGTGGAAAAATAAAGATCTACTGTTAACTTCTGTTCACACTACTTGAAGTAAAATACTTGTTTGTTCTATTTATCTTACATTCATGGTAGTCATCTGTTAAAAAAAGGTCTATAATTAGAGTCTTAATTCCTATTTATGGACTTTCCCACAAAGATAAATAGCCTAGCTGGCATTTTCTTAGTGCCCTCCTGGCATTTTCCAAAACTTCTTACCCTGAATTAGCACTTCCATATTCCTCCGTGCTTTAGAAGGTAGCCTAGAGAGCCAAGAAACATCCAAGTTCTAGCCCATACTCTTTCAAAAATCCTACTTAGGTTCTAAGTACTGGATTCCAGTACTGAGGCTAGTAGATGCTGACATAAGAACGTCAATGATGAGAAGGAGATGTCAGCAGAAATCAGTTTAGAAGGAAGATGTTAATTTTTAACTCCTAAGGAAGATTAGCATTGGAACAACTCACCTAGCAGGGCAGTGGCCTTTTTCAACACATGGTGTACCTAATGAAGAGCTCTGACTTAAGCACAGTAAGCAAAGCAGCTGCAATGGTTTAGTGCATTGCTACTCCCAGCTGTTCTGCCATCCCTTCTGCCGGAGGACATTCCACATCAGAACTGTTTCAGTTCACAGTCAAGCCTATTTGCTTTAATTGCCTGTGGACATCAGTTCATACTAAAATGCTAGACTATGAATCTCAGCTAGTGAGGTGCGGATGCACCCTGTCTTCTGCCAGTGATGATATGGAGGAGAAAAATGGACAGAAGAGCAACTACAGATCACAGAGCTGCCATGTGAAATCCTTTCTTCTCTTGGCCTCCACTACATACACCTACTCCCATGCTGTTCTTTCTTTTCTGCCATGCAACTGTTCATGTAGCTGAATGGTGAATTGTTTGCTGAACCCAAATTAAAAATAGCCCAGAAAAAGCAAAAAGCCATGTTGGTTCTCTGGTTTGATTCTGTATCCCACTGTGGACTGTCATACTCAGAAATGCAAGAATAGATTGGCATTTGGAAGAAGCATCAGAAACAGCAACTGCTTAAAATGGGGTAAGAAGAAAAGCTCTTCAAATCTGCCCTAAAACTAATGGCTCCTTCAAATATATACTCCAGCCCAGTGATTTGTTGGGCAGAGTAAATGAATCATTGTGTTATGTAGGCATTTGAACTGAACTAATCATTCCATTAGGCCTTAAATCATACATAAGCAAATCTGTTTCAGTTTTCAGGCTTTGCTGAAGCTGAGAATCTGGCCCTGTACGCAAGAATTAGTAC